GCCAGCTCCCCCTGCACATCCCCATCGGCTCGGACACGGGAAAGGACAGATGCCACCTTTGCCACCCCAGGGACATGGCCTGGGGGGCAAGGAACTGGCTGCAATTCCCACGGGCACCGAGAAAATGAGAGAGGAGAGCGCTCCGGGTAAAGGAGAGCGCGCGGGAGAAAGCCGCTGTGGTGGCTCGCCAAGCCTGGCAGGTTTGGGAGACCACAGCCTGCCCCATGAAGAGGACCGTCTATCCTGGGAAGAAAGAGTCCCCTTTCAGAGGAGGCCACTTTGGCCGCTTGCCCCCTCCCGCAGGGTCCTGCCTAACTCCCAGGCTGTTTGTTGCCTCTCCAGTCTCTGTGGAAAAATTCATAAAACCTCGAGGCCATGGCGGAAGCCCAGACAGGGATTGCGCAACGTGCAATGCAACCGTGCCGGGCAGCCTCCCGGGCTGGCGGGAGAGGGGCGAGCGCTCGCAGGAGCCCTTGAGCCCGCAGGCGTCTCCCACCTACGCGGGGAGGATGGAGGGTGACGGGGTGACCTCCGAGCAGAGGGCCTGGGCGAACACAAACCTTCCTCCATCTCCTGGAAACTCAGCCCATCAATTCCTTTTCCCTGCAAGTGGTCCCACTGGTTTTTGCAGGCAGCGGCCAGCACGTTCTTCACGGCGCCCACAGCCTGGGTGCATTTGGTGAAGTTCAGCTCGTTCTGGAAGCTCAGAGCTGGGGAGAGGTTTTCTTCCATGGCTACTTTTAAGGCCTGAAATTCCTGAGCCAAAAAGATGGAGTTTCAGGAGGTTTCAAACAAGCTGAAGTTGTCTCTTGTTCCACAACCCCACCCTGTCCCGGCGGATTTGGGAACTGGCAGCTCACAGGACTTGGCCCAAGGACAAGGGAGGAGAGCACTCTCCCGGCCACGCGTTCCTGGCGCCTTCTCTTCACTCCCTTTCAAAGCTGGACCCAGACCATGCCCACCTCACGAGCAGCATCTCCTCCCAAAAAGGTCTCCTCTCACTGGGCTGCCAGGGATGGGAAGGATGCCGGGTGGGGGCAGTGGGGCACCCCAACCTCTCGCTCTTTGCCCCCCACACCTACGTGCCCAGCCCAGGCAGCACATCAGCTTCTCCTGAGTCACGGCCGGGATGGAGGTGGGGGTGATGGAGGAGAAAGTCTTGGCCACCCGGTCCCCCCGTTGAGTGTGCCAACAGGAGTGACACTCTGCAGCGCTCACGTCCCAGAGCTCCCGGCACCCAGCTCCACGTGAAATGAGACAAAACCCCAAAAGACCGGCTCCTTCTCCTCGCCCCATCCCACCCAGGCACCTGGAGGAAGTAGATGGTGTCGGTGCTGGGGACATTCTCCAGGTTTTGCTTGCACTGGGCCAGCTTGGCTCGCCTCTCCTCCTTCCAGCGGAGATCAGCCTCGGCCTCCCCCAGCATGGAGCGCTCCCCGTCCTCGATGAAACCAGCCACCTCCTTCTGGAAGGCCGCCAGGACCGCAGAGGCTTCTGCGAAGAGCTTCTCGACTCCTTTCC